AGTTTATATGCAACCCAGGCTCATTCTAAAAACATACCGCTATATATATATATATATTTCTGGAGAGCACCAAATATGTTCCAGTAGCTACATCTTTAATCAAACTAAAAGATTGTATATGACTGTTTTTTGTGTTGTTGCTACGTTTTTGTACAATGTAAGTTTGTTAAGAAACTGATTTTGATTTGATTTTGTGATTATATATTGTATATTTATTAATATGTGTTTTTGCCCCGATTATAGCCAATGCTGCTAATATGGCATTGCAACCTAAATAAATAAATGTTATATTATATATTATGTTATATTGGTGTGCATATCCATAGCTTTTTCCCTTCTAGACTTGACCCTGTGAGACTTGTATATATGTCAGTCACACTTGGGGCCCTATTATGGCCTGATAACACAAAACGCAATTTATTTTACTTTCAAAAATGCCTTTTTATGTGGGTAGGCAACAACTGAATCAGCAGCCCATTGTGCGCGAGTGTTGCTGTTGATATTGGTATAATTTCAATATTTATTATTATTGTGAAATTCTTATGGCTTCGGATAAGTCAAAACAGTAACCACCAGTCTCTTCTCTATCTTCAAAAGTCTTTAATTTGATTGGAGAATGAAAAGGACGTGACTGATGTAACACGCTTTTTACGCTCGGAGTTGTTTTTTTTTTCAACTGCGAGCTTATGTCACGCAATGACAAAAATGCGAGCCACAGCAGTCTTTAGCCCCGATTTTGACTCACCGACAGGTTTTGAGAAATCGCAGACAAATGCCTGAAATCACAAGCAAGTCAGTGCTCATTCAAATGAGCAACAATCACACAGTAATACTACGGAATACTTTATAAAAAAATGAACTATCAAAGACGTCATCTGAGAGAATCACAGATGATTCGCCGACACCCGTGAGATATTTGGTGTGCTAAATGTCGGGACCTGTTGGCGATTCAAATCATACCATGTAAAATGTGTTCTGTTTAAAAATAACATCGGGGATTACCTACAGTCAATAAGAGAGCAGCATTCACAAGTATGGGTATCTGCAGGCCAGCGGGAGTTTGGGGAAAAAGTTAAAAGCGCTCATTTTCTGTTTATTTGGACCCAAGAAATGGAGGAAAAACTATTGTAAATTTGGCAGGAGCAGCCATGTCTGTCTGAAGTGTTATATGAGCAATATCACAACCGGGTCGAAAAAGAAAAAGAAAGTTTGTAAGAAATTGCTTCCTTCAAGATTAGGTGAGCAAAATAAGTACATTTCTTTTCAAGAACATTTCAAGACTTTCTCATTATGTGGTTAATAACAAAATATATATTACATGACCTCTCATTGTTTTCATGTCTTCTCACGTATTTTTGGTTGTGATATGTAGTTTGGACAAAATTGGCGCAATTTCTTCCTATTTTAAAGTTATGCTATTATTATTAAAGCTATTATAAACACCCTGCCGCCAATACATCCGATTTGTTGCTATTTTCAGACCAGCGCAACGGTAATTTTCACAGTTTGCACCACGTTGTTTAAATAGCAAATATATTTGCTCCACTTTGTGTACTCATGGGTGTGCTTGTCTAAAAAGGAGGTGTGTTAAGGCGCATTGTTTGCGCGTTGCTATTTTGAGAAACTGAAATAGACTTCGCCATAGACCAACTAAAAGCTGGTCTAAAGTCCCGCACAAAGCAAGTTAGTTATGCACCTATGTGGGTCCAAACGCTTACACATTGCTTAATGCACACAGGATGTACAGCAATACACAAATATCTTTACAAATGAAAAAATTAAAGGATTAAAATGTTACAAAATTATTCGATTATTAGATTTGTTCATCATACCTCAGTTTTTTGAGCACACTTCGTTATTGTTCCTTTATTCGTTTGCTGGAAATCAGAACGGAATTTAGAAATAGTTTTATAACAAATCTTTGCGTTTAACAAATGAAATTAAATATTTAGGTTAATGGATGTCTTCAGTCTTCCGTTTCCTTACTCTAGGAAAGTAAAGAAAGTAAAGTGAAGAGTAAAAGTAAAGAGGCTGAATGAAGGAGGCCCGTTCTTTATCTTCACGCTGCAGATGGTCTGGTTAACTCGCTGGTGAAGCATTCAGTCTTTCACTTACAAAGTCTGCCATGTAAATAGCAAATGTGCCATGGCGCGACACAACTTACTCTTAAAGGGGATGTGAGATGAGACTCTGATAACTGCAAGTGCACTTTAGACTTTGCACTTATATCGTTAAAATAGAGCCCTTAATGTACATTCAGTTACCACCGGAAGTTAAAGTTTACAGTTTTTTAATTTTCTAAAGTATTTCTGTTTTAAAAACACATGGATCCACTTCTTAATAAAAGTGTTAACCCCGTGGCAGTGTGTGGGTTAGTTCGACTTTAAATTTATGTCCTTATGGAATCTTCAAAATAGTCACTATCTAACATTATTGTTCAATATGTCAAAGACAGGATAGTATTTAAAATGACTGTGATCATCTGACAGAAGAACAGTTTATACACCGAATGCGGCTTTAGAGTAAGTAAACTGTGATAAATTAGATTTTTGGGTGAGCTTTTCCTTTAAGTATATCAAGGACGAGTTAACTGTTTCTCCCCAGACTTCAGTGTGAATCAGTTTGTTAGCTTATCCCACACACATTTTCTCCAACTGGTAATGTCAAAAATCCCACACGCACAGTCCACACTAATAGGAGCAGAGGATACATGGATGGCAACAATTATCACAAATGGATGAGTTCTAACCAACTGAAAGACATTTGATTAAAGCCCTTGGTTACCGCCATGGTGCGAATGATCATCAGGGCCTAGCTCTAGGAAAACTATGCAGCGCTCAACAGAAAGTGTTACTGTATCTAGAGTCCCTGCGGAATATTCCAATGTGATAAGCTGGATATTAACAGATGTGGCCATAGCCGAAGCTAAAGCTAATGCAGCGTGAAATCTGGTTTTAGTCTTTTTCTGCCAAAATCCCAAACCGCCTTCAGATGAGAAGTTGTTTAGCACCAACCAGGCTGGTGCATCTGCAGCTAACAGCTAAAAGCTTCTGATGTTTGCATTGCAGTCTTTTTAGTCATTGGTGTGTTTATACAGACAGTTTATACTGTATGCAGAGCTCAGCATAAATGAGTACACTCCCTTTTGATAATCAATATTTGTATCCATTTCTCAACCAATATACACTCACCGGTAGATTAATTAATCAAATTTCTAATCAGCCAATCACATGGCAGCAACTCAATGCATTTAGGCATGTAGACATGGTCAAGATGATCTGCTGCAGTTCAAACCGAGCATAATTGGGTAGAAAGGTGATTTAAGTGACTTTAAACGTGGCATGGTTGTTGATGCCAGACTGGCTGGTCTGAGTAATTTAGAAACAGCTGATCTACTGGGATTTTCATGCACAACCATCTCTAGGGTTTACAGAAAATGGTCCGAAAAAGAAAAAATGTTCAGTGAGCGGCAGTTCTGTAGGCACAAAGGCCTTGTTGATGCCGGAGGTCAGAAAAGAATGGCCAGATTGTTTCGATCTGATTGAAAGGCAACGGTAACTCAAATAACTACTCGTTACGACCGAGGTATGCATCTCTGAATGCACAACAGACAGAACCTTGAGGCAGATGGGCTACAGCAGCAGAAGACCACACCGGGTGACACTCCTGTCAGCTAAGAACAAAAAATTGAGGCTACAATTCGCACAGGCTCACCGAAATTGGACAATAAAAAAAAATGTTGCCTGGTCTAATGAGTCTCGATTTCTGCTGTGACATACAGATGGTGGGGTCGGAAATTAGCATAAACAAGATGAAAGTATGAATACACCCTGCCTTGTATCAACAGTTCAGGCTTGTGCTGGTGGTGTAATGGTATGGGGGATATATTCTTGGTACACTTTGAGCCCATTAGTACCAATTTAGTGTTGTGTCAACGCCACAGCCTTCTTGAGTATTCTTGCTCAGCATGTCCATTTCTTTATGATGGGTGATGGCTACTTCCAGCAGGATAATGCACCATATCATAAAGTGTAAATCATCTCAGACTGGTTTCTTAAACATGACAATGAGTTTAAAGTACTCTCACAGTCTCTGGCTTCCACAGTCACCAGAACTCAATCCAATAGAGCACCTTTGGGATGTGGGGCAAAATGGGGGTCCAAACCAGTATTAGCAAGGTGTACCTAATAAAGTGGGCAGTGAGTGTACTCGAGGGTTTCTTGAACCTTTAAAACAATGCATATTTGTAATAAAGACGATAATATCAATGTCATTCATCACCACAGCCGCATGTCAGTACAATAATAAAAGAAGATGCTTCAATCCCGGATTAATGACGTTAAATCTGGTTTATTTTGTACATCAACATAACGTGTATCCATACAGCTGTGGATAATAACGTTTTTCCTATGAAACTTGCTGTGCAAAACCAGTGCAAATTTAAACGCCTTTCGGTCACTGTGCTGTTTATCAGACACAGCCAGAGATGGAGACACTGACATTCAAGTGGGAACGGTGGGTAGGGAAAACTAGCAATAAAGGCACAGGCAACAAAAACAGCTACATTGTGTTCAAAACAGAAAATAATAAAAAAGCTGATGGATGTTTTGAGCTAAACTTTACAGACACGTTCTGGAGACACAATAATCCGATTCTGGCATTGTACAGTAAATAAATATACAGGAATTGTCCAGGAGTAGGTGTGTTCAACTTCGAGTGCCGCTACTTGTGCGATATTAAATGCACCTGAATGGCTCCTGCACAACTGTATATGAACCACATATATTTTTAGACCATTCATTGAATACCCTAAAGATGTAAAAATCCCAGTTTTATTTTACAGACTAGCTCATAAATGCTGCTATTCTCAGGGCAAATATATTAAAAAGAAAATTAATTGGTTTAGCTATTTGCCTCACTTGTTTTATTGTATATTGCCAACTCTATACTTTATTGTCTACGCAACCCATAATAAATATGTTACTTGTAATATATTTCAGGACACAGCTCTGGATCCAGGAGAGGATGTCGCTCTTTTGTCTGTCAGCTTTGAAGATGCGGAAGCCACACAAGTCTTTCCAAAACTCTACCTATCTCCCAGCATTGAGCAGTGAGTGTCTTCTCCTTATTCTGTTACGAAATTCTAAGTGTAGATAATTTTCCCTGGGGCATAGAGATAAAATGCAACACATCATAATTTGAAGGCCACGCCCTCGAGAGCAATCCAAACTGCTTTATTGGCTCAGTATTAAGGGAGGTTGCCTAAAAGTCTAAAATGTCTAAACGTTGCTATGTAACAAAATGTAAAGAAGACAAGCTAAAAATTCCAGAACCAAGTTTTAATAACCTGTCGACCCCAAAATTGAAGACACAAAAGTAGAGCGCAATGTCTTATATTAGCGAACTTGGTTCCACCCATTTGATTTTGACAGTGTTGGAATGCTGTGAACCATTGCCATTCAGATACAAATGGTATTTTGGTGATTTCATGAACAATTTGTCCCATTACAGATCAGGAGGACTATTCAATAACCTATAAACACTACTCTACTAGTATCACTAAAATCATTGAAACCTCTGTTGTTTCTTGGAATGTTTTTACACAGTGTTATGTTACAGACAGGGCCAGATTAGCTTAAGGACTAATTAGGGCTGAAGCCTCAGGGTCTTCAGAAGAACAGGATCCTTGATTGGCTGTATAATTCATTTTCGATATGAAATGCCTCGTGCGTTATACTTTTGCATGTTGATAATGTGAAGTCTTCCGATCCGCTTGCGGATTAGGCCCTCGTGGAAATCTGTTGATCATTCAGTCTATTTATTTACTTATGTAAATGTACTTTTATTTCCCAGAGATGAGTTGTGGCTGGAAGGGCATCCGCTGTGTAAAAACGGGATAGATAAGTTGGCGGTTGACTCAGCTGTGGTGACCCCGGATTAATAAAGGGGTTATGCCGAAAAAAAAGGAATGAATGAATATACTTTTATTGATTTATTTATTAATTTACTTTGAACCACCAACAGCATATGTTTTACACAGCAGATGCCCTTCCCGCTGCAATCCAGTAATAGGAAACATTCCTACACACTCATTCACACACATACACTACAAGCAATTTAGTTTATTCAATTCACCTATAGCGCATGTGTTTGGACTGTGGGGAGAAACCAGAGCACCAGGAGGAAGCCACACGTCAACATGTGGAGAACATACAAACTCCACACAGAAACGCCAACTGACCCAGCCAGGACTCAAACTACCCAGCAGGCACACAACATCATAAGACTTTAATATTAGGTTAGATTTAGATCATGGTGTCAGGTGACCAAAATTCAATGTCTAGCATCTAAAGGCAACGTTATTTAGACGTCCAATAACGAATGATATTTGGTTGATTTTAGGTTTTGTTGGAAAGTGACCCAAATCCAACATCTGATTGATATCATAGTGGTAACGTCCACTCTTCATCAAGGTATAACATGATTAGACGTTGGTTGTTTTTAGGTTGGACATTGACGTCAGCCAAATGTTAAGTTCTGACATTAACTTGATTTTATTTCCAAACAAAATCCAACGTCCCCATGATGTTGGGGTACAACGTCAATATGACGTCAACTTGACGTCCTGTGCCTGCAGTGTAGCGACGCACTGTGATGCAACAGTGCTAACCACTGAGCCACCTTGTCGCCTACATTTATTCAGTTTTCTATTATTTTTTTAGTATTATTATTGAATATTTTGCAAATGTTTAGATAAATGATGTACAATCAAAACGTTTTAGTGGATGTATTAAATGAGAGGCTTACCAAATAATTTGTTCTAATAGGATTTTAGCTGTGAACTTTAAATAAAAGTGTTTATTTATTTTATATTATGGGTTAGGTTTTCGGCTTCTACACTCAGTTTTTTTTTTTTTTTTTGGATGAGAGACACCTCATCCAACTGTCAACTTGAGTAAATGAACTAAAGGCAGCACTTCCTCTTCTGCTATTCACTTCCTGAAATCCTGAGGAATTGAGAATCCATCAGTAAAAACATGTTATGTTTATGCAAGAACAAAAAGAGTCGTTATTAAATGGCTTCACGTGAACGTGAAGAACAAAAGCAGTGCATTTAAATGAAATTCTCCTAGCTTCTCAGTATTGGTGCAATACAACCTAGTAATCATTTTTTATTATTCAACAAAAAGGCAATGGTATGGGGTAGGCAAGGGACAACTACTGTTATACCGCGGTTTGGAAAAGTCAGCATTTTCTGTTATACCGTTCCTACAGTATAGGTGAGATTTTTTTAAATGTTTTTTTATAGTTTATATAGTTTTATAGTTTTTTATAGTTTTTTTTTTTTTTTTTTTTTTTTTTTAGGACAACAGTATCTCCAGCAGAAAAGATATCCAAAGATGTTGTTTTAAATTGTAAAAAAATCTGAATCTTTGAAACTAATCAAGACAGCAGAAGTTATTTAGCCTGACATGTTTACTGCTCCAAAATGTTTCCCAAATTAAAATATACTGTGTTCAAAGGTTAAAAAGTTTTTGTTTTTACCCAAACATTTAAAAAGAATATATTTTAGAGCAATAATCACAATATCGTGAAACCATGATATTCTTATTCAAGGTCCATGAATTTCTTTTCTTTTTTTTTTGTTTCATCAAATATTTGGAGTTTCTGTGAGAGCGCCCTCTGTATGGAGCCAGATAACACATAACTGAGTAAGATAAACATTTTATTTGATAAGAAAAAATGCACATGAACTATCATAGGAACTCATTTACCGAATACATTCCAACTTGCACTTACAAAAAAGGCTTGTTACTTTATTAAAAGAGATCATGTAATAACTAGGGATGCACCAATACCATTTTTTTTCCGGAACTGTACCGATCCAGATTTCAAAATTCTAAGTATCAACCGATACAGATCTAATCCCGGTGCTGGGCTGTTTTTTTTTTTTTTTTTTTTTTTTTTTTTTAAATAAATATAACACAGTTTCTTTAGTTATGGAAATAAACTCAGATAATATATCTTCTTTAGCAAGAATATAGGCCCATAGGCTGACTGTATATGACAGACGGCACAATCTAACTAAAAACATGATGCTTGCTATAAACTATAGGCTACATTATTTGAGCGTTCCTTATGACATTGATATAACCTGTGGTTGCTTATGTTTCCTTTTTTAATACTAAGATTTTCCTTTAAAATCTGCAATAGGCTACCACTATTGACCCTAATCGTTGGTAAAATAACAAGCCTTTTAGCAAAGCCTGATATTTTCCTACAGGTTTAACGCAGACTAATCTAAACTGTCCATTTTAAACAGTCCCTTATCTAACCTGCCATGAGTGAGATGGAGAAAATGAAAGCATATCAACACAGACAAAAACAGAAATTTAGGACATAATCTTTAAAATAATTACTTATATTAAACATGCAGCAAATATCTGACAGGTTTTTGATAACAATTACAGTGGGGCATTAATGAAATCCTTATTTTCCATGGATTTTTTTTTTTTATCTGAAAAATTATCTTTTTGGAAAGAATTTTTTTTGCTATAATTCATTCGTTCATTTTCTTTTTCCGCTTAGTCCCTTTATTAATCCAGGGTCCCCACAGTGTAATGAACCGCCAACTTATCCAGCGCATGTTTTACGCCGTGGATGCCCTTCCAGCGGCAACCCTTCACTCGGAAACATACACACTCAGTCACACTCATACACTACAGACAATTTAGCCTACCCAATTCACCTGTACCGCATGTCTTTGGACTGTGGGGGAAACCGGAGCACCCGAAAGGAACCCACGCGAAAGCAGGGAGAACATGCAAACTCCACACAGAAACATCAACTGCTCCAGCCGAGGCTCGAGTCAGAGACCTTCTTGCTGTTAGGTGACTGCACTACTTACCGCGCCACTGAGTCGCCCTGTTTGCTATAATTTGTATCTTAATTTTAATGTATTTTTCTGTTAATGACAATTTAATTAACTACTTTGACCACAATGGACCAGGGCAGATTTTACAAACTATTCGCAGCACTTAAAGTAATTCTCTCAGAAGAATAAACTCAGTCGGAAGGATGAGAGAACAGAAACTCATTGTGAGAATAATCTTACGGAGCAGGTTACATCACGTCTGCCCAGCTGGTGCGTGAATGGAACTCTTGATGCATCACTACACAGCGCACAGCCCTCCGGTATCTGCAGACATTGCAGCAGCAAAAAAGGAAGAAATCAGTGTGTTGAGGATCTGTCCAATGTATTATTGAGCTTATTCTAATTTAAATTTTAACAATTTAAAACTTTATGTAGGTCTACTTTGTGTGTGAAGAGCAGGTAAAAACCATCTCTAGTCCAGTGTTGCGAACGCGATATGTTTTTGTTGGCTTATGAATTACACAGAATATCACGCAAGATCGGATTTGGATCGGTACCAGCTGGCTGATACCAGATCCAGCAAAAATATGCGGTATCAAAATGATATTTGATCCAAGTATTGGGATCGGTGCATCCCTAATAATAACAAAAATGGACCAGTGAACCAACCACATAGTAAAATATCTCAAATGTTGTTTTGGTCATTCTAAAATTATTTAGCCATTTAAAATCTTGAGCAGCTGTGCTCCCAAACAGCGGTCTCATGCCTTCAAAAGCCACTGCGCGTTCATTGCATTTCATCTTCTAATGCTCAAATACTTTATTATACAATAAAGAAGGCTCCCTGTGGCTTCGCTTTTCTTTTTGATATTTGGCGTAGAGTTGAAGATCTTTGCTGGGTGATTCGGGCTTAATTTCCATAATTTTAGACAGGGTCAGGTCAGGCCGGACTTGGCTTTCGCACTAAATTAATAGTCATGTGATGCATTTCGATTAGCATGAGAAAGTAATTAAATAGTTTGTTACTACATTAAAATCCATTCCTGCAAAGGTGAAACAAATGATGACGAAGTCAAAAAGAGCGAATTTGGACTGCGGTCAGGCCAATTAAAAAAAGAGTGGTAATTCTAGGTATTTCAGTAATCGCTCATACACTGCATATTACGGTAGAGCACTATACAGCAATGTACAACATGTACAGCAAGCTGACAGGAAAACTGCAGGGTCACTCGCTA